AAAGGCCAGACTAGTTCACCCTCCTGCTTAGATCAAAAGTAGAGAAGTAGCAGTTAAGGGGGAAACACCAGAGATAATGTGTAGAACCAGAGCATGGCTTCTCTGTATTTCTGGGTCCTGCTACTTGTTAGGATTGTAGGAAAAGACCTCAAAGGAGCAGATTACCACCAGTAAGGATGTGGAGCCAGGGGGTGGTGTGAGTGGCTTGTGTTGACCTTGAGTTGGGGTTGGGCTGGGGTGCCGAAGCCCTTGGGAGACCCTGAGGATGGCCGGTATCCCTTACCTCTCTGAACTTCATGTCCTCAGTTGCTCTCCTTGCCCGTTAAGAACCATTCCCCATGGCTGGCCCATCCCCCACATCTATGCAGATGTGTCTTCTCCTCATCGCTGTGCCACCATCCTAGTGCAGGGCACCAACCACCCTGAGCAACGTGCTCGGGTCCCTCAGAGCAAGGCTTCTGCTCCCTGTTATTCCCCTTCAGCCTTCGGTCCATTTCAGAGCACTTCTCACACCTGGCCACTGGTGCTGTTTTTTTAAACTTAAATATATAGAAGATAAAATGTATGATCTTTCCCACTTCTAAGTGTACAGTTCAGTAGCATTAAGTACATTCACTTTATTGTGCAAATGATCTCTAGAGCCCTATTTATCTTGCAAAACTGCAACTTTCTGGCTATTCTACAGCAACACCCCATTCCTCCTCCCTGCCCGGCCTTTGCTCCCTAGCGTTCTGGTTTTTGCCTATGATTTTGACTACTTTTACCTTATATAATGGTATCATACAGATATATATTCCATATATATGGAATCATACAGATGTCTTTTGTGATTGATGTATTTCACTTAGCACGATATCCCGTAGGTTGATCTGTGCTATAGCATGTGACAGGATTTCTTTCCTTTTTAAGGCTGAATAGTGTTGTCTGTGTATACCACATTGTATCCATCTGTCTGTCAATAGCACTTGGGTCCTTTGCACCTTCGGCTATTGGGAAAAATGCTGCTGTGAACACAGGTGTACAAATATTTCTTTGAGATCCTGATTTCAGTTGTTTTGAGTATATATTCAAAAGTGGAATTGCAGGATCATATGGTGACTTTTTAATTTTTTTTAATGGGAATATAGTTGACCTACAATGTTCTAGGGTTTCAGGTGTACAACATAGTGATTTGACATTACACTGTGCTTATCACCAAAAGTATAGTTACTGTCACCATATGAGATTATTACAGTATTATTGACTCTATTTGCTGTGCTGGACTTTTCATCTCCATGAGTTATTTATAACTGGTAGTATGGACCTCTTAATCCCCTTCATTTATTTCACACATCCCCTACCCCCACCATCTGACAACCACACATCTGTTCTCTGTATATATAACTCTGTTTCTGGTTTTTGGTTTGTTTTTTACATGCCACATATAAATGAAATCATAAGTTGTTTATATTTCTAGGACTTAAAGAAAGGCCCAATAGTTTTTGTTTTTGTTTCCCTTGCCTTAGGGGTAAGATCTCCTTCTTTTTTATGGCTGAATAATGTCCCGTCATATACACACACACACACACACACACATATACACACACATGTATATATATATGTGTGTGTATATATATACATATATGTATATATACACACACACCCCACATCTTTATATATATCTATAGAAATATCTAGATCTACAGATAGAAATCTGTCTGTATATCTGTGTGTGTGTGTGTGTGTATATATATATATATATATACATATACATATACATATATATATACACACACCACATCTTCTTCATCCAGTCATCCACACTTAGGTTGCTTCCATAATGTGGCTATGGTTAATAATTCTGTAGTAAACATAGGGTTGCATACATCTTTTTGAATGAGTGTTTTCATCGTCTTTGGGTAAATACCCAGTAGTGGAATTGCTGGATTGTATGGTATTTCTATTTTTAATTTTTGGGGGGAGAAACTCCATAGTGTTTTCCAATGTTTGGACCAGTTTACATCCCCACCAACAGTACACAAGGGTTCCCTATTGTCTACCGCCTCACCAGTGATTGTTATTTCTCGTTTGACTCTAGCCATTCTGACAGGTGTGAGGTATTCTCTTGTAGTTTTGATTTGCATTTCCCTGATGATTAGTGATGTTGAACATGTTTTCATGTGTCTGTTGGCCATCTATATGTCTTCTTTGAAAACCTGTCTATTCAGGTCTTGTGCTCATCTTTAATCAGATTACTGTGTGTGTGTGTTGACTTGTATAAATTCTTTATTTTGCATATTAACCCTTTATTAGGTAGATCATTTGCAAATATCTCCTTCTATTTTGGACGTTGCCTTTTTGTTTCGTTGATGGTTTCCTTTGCTATGCAAAAGCTTCTTATTTTGGAGTAGGCCCAATAGTTTTTGTTTTTGTTTCCCTTGCCTTAGGGGTCATATCCAGAAAAATGTTGCTAAGGCTGATGTCCAAGAGATTAATGCCTATATTTTCTGCTTGTTTGTTTGTGTAGGAGTTTTTATGACTTCAGATCTTAGATTTAGGTCTTTAATCCATTTTGAGTTTACTATTTTTAATTTTTTAGGAACTGCCATAGTGTTTTCCATAGTGACTACCATTTTACAGTGCATAAAAGTTCCAATTTATCTACATCCTCACCAACACCTGTTAGTTTTTTTCATTTTTTAAAATTTTAGCCATTCTGATGGATGTGAGGTTGTTTTGATAGGCATTTCCCTAACAGTAATGATGGTGAGCACTTTGTCACATACACGTTGACCATTTGTATGTCTTTTTTTTTTTTTTTTTTTTTTACAGTTTATTTGTTTTTGAGAAGGAGGGAGGGGCAGAGAGGGAGGGGGACAGAGGATCTGAAGCAGGCTCTGTGCAGGCAGCAGAGAGCCCAATGGGGGGTTCAAACTCATGAACTGTGAGATCATGACCTGAGCTGAAGTCGGACATTTAACTGACTGAGCAACCCAGGTGCCCCTACCTAGTGATGCTGGTCTTGATGGAACTTTGCATGTGTTTAGTCATTTTATAGTTTGAAAATCTGCTGTGACAAATTCGTGTCCTCTGGTCCTCCATTCTGTGTCCTCGCAGCCATCTTCCCGCACCAGTGCCTTCTCTGCCGGCCCGTGGCCCCACGTGTTGCCCATTGTCTCACTGTCACCCTCTCCCCCTCTCCTCCTGCTTTAATTCGGGCCTCTGTGCTTCCTCACTGTAGATCTGGAGGCAGCCCCCTGACTGGTGTCTTCACCTCCAGGCACGACGCTGTTCGTTGCTGCCAGAGTAAACTTTCCAAAATCCATATTTCATCATTTGCCTGTTGGATTTGAATTCTTCCATGTGTCCTATGTCGTCTCCAGGGTAAAGCCCACCCCCTTTCACGGCACCCAGGCTCTCACAGCGGCCTCCCCTGCCGCCCCAGAACCTCAGCCTCATTCCCCGCAGCCTGTGCAGACCCTGCCTCCTCAGCCTAGAGGCTTCCCCAGGCTTCTCCCCCACGTGCCATGTCTTCCTTCCTGTTCACCCTGACTTACTGCCTGCACCGCCCACCCAGCCGGTCGGCCCGGGCCTGCCTGGGCGCTGGGGCGCTCCCTCTGCCCCTGGGCCTCACTCACGGGCCTGTCTGTAGGGTAAGTGTAGCTAACTTATCTGGCTCCTCGCTGGTCCCTGTGCTTCAAAGCCAGGCCAGTATCCCCTGTCCCGCACTCCGGCTGTTATCCTGGGGCCCCTCACAGAGTGGGTCTGTGTGGAAAGGAGGAGGGAGAGGAAAAAGACTAGGCTGTCTGAGTTCAGAGGTCGCGTGCTCGCTGCCCTCCTGCCCCTCAGCACCAGGGACTGTCACCTCCGTCCCTCCTCCCCCCCGTCCTCCCCCCTGCCCCATGCAGGGCGGAGGGGATGGCTAGACGCCCAGAGCAACCCAGTCAGCTCTGCTTTGCTCCGTGGCCGCCCTGAGAGTCCCCAGCCCTGGTCCGCCTTCTGGTAAACGCATCCCTGCGAAGACCCGTGACTCACGTGCGTGTGACTCGGCGAGAGCGCAGCACAGCTGGAAAGGCAGCCAGTGTGTCTGCTTGGCGGGCGGGGGAGGAGGGGCTGGCAGAGCTGCACGGATCCAGGTCCGGGTTCACGAGCCCTGGCAACCCTAGCCTGCTCACTGGAGCGAGAGTATAAATCCTCCTCTGCCCGTGGGGAACGAGGAGGCCACCTCCGCAGAGCAAGGCAAGGCTTATTACATAGCTGGATTCTGTCTAATTATTACTATTAAATAATATTTTAATAAACTGCCATTTATGGCATCTTTGCCACAGGTATAGGCACTGTGATAGTCCTCTTGATACAAATCATTTCATTTAATCCTCACACTAGCCCAACAACAGAAATCGTAACAAATTCATATATAGCACTTGCTATGTGCTAGATCTTGTTCTCTGCACGTTGCTTTGAAGCCATCTGATTCTCAGGGTAACCCTACGATACAGAAACTGCTGTTACCCTCATTTTACAGATGAGGAAACTGAGGCACAGAAAAGTCACATACAGTGGTGCCCTGAAGTCACATAGGTGATGACAGAACTGTGATAGAAACTCAGGCTTCTGAGTCCACACTCCTAACCACTACTCCATGCTTCTGTGATGAAGGCGATAGTCCCATCTTACAGGGATGGAGATTGTGGCTCAGAGAGGTTGGCCACTTCTATATGATTGCACAGCAGAGAGTGATCGAGATTGACTGTCTCTTATCCTGGCTCCTAACCACCGCGCACTCCTGCCCAGATGCAGGAGATGTAGTCGTCACCGTTTGTGCTCAGTTCTCCTTAACCCTCCCCATTGGCACTTCCCAGGGGCCACGTGCAGCGAGTGAGTAGAATTCTAGGGAAGAAGGTTTCTTCCAAGTCTAGGGGCACAGCAACGCGTATTCTGCTTCAGAGGCCTCTTCAGTTTGGGTCCCAGTGTACTCCCTCGGCCCGAGGATGTTGACGTGGCTCTTCTTACCTCCACAGATAGTGAGAGCGTGCACTACCACTATGGGCCGAAGGACCTGGTCACCATCTTGTTCTACATCTTCATCACCATCATCCTGCACGCTGTGGTTCAGGAGTACATTTTAGATGTGAGTGACGTCTGGATTCTGAGATCACAAGCTGGGGCGATGCGGTGGGCAGAAGGGCCTCGCCTCAGAGGACCCTGCACCTCTGTGCCCTTTACCTCCTCATTCGCATACCCTCATGGGTCCTATGGACTGGACATCCTCACCACACGCTGCGGTTTCTGTCCCCTCTCACAGCCTTCTTAAATTTTTTTTTTTTTAATGTCTTATTTATTTCTAGGAGAGAGAGAGAGACAGCGTGAGCAGGGGAGGGTCAGAGAGAGAGGAAGATACAGACTCTGAAACAGGCTCCAGGCTCTGAGCTGGCAGTCAGCACAGAGCCCGACGCGGGGCTCGAACCCATGAACCGCGAGATCATGACCTAAGCGAAAGTCGGACGCTTAACCGACTAAGCCACCCAGGCGCCCCTCTCACAGCCTTCTTAGAAGTGCATGGGACGCCAGTATTTCCTGCATGAGGGGACAGCGGCCTGAAATGGCAGGACACAGTCCTTATGAGTCTGTCACGTGTGGCCTGATTGTGGGACATTTTCTTTACATCTAGGCTGAGGACCTCAGTCTGGCCACTTTCTCAGCATGCTTGCCTTGAACTGAGCACTCCAGGCACCCCGCAGGCTTACACCGAATAGCCGGGGTCATGGCCAGCTGTAGACTGCTTTCCTTTCAAGGGTAGAAAATGGGAGTTTGAAGCCTACCCATTTCCAATGCACCTGCATATATTAATATGCAGGATTCTCTTTATTCTTCAGAAAATCAGCAAACGGCTTCACCTCTCCAAGGTTAAGCACAGCAAGTTCAACGAATCTGGACAACTGGTCGTCTTTCATCTCAGCTCAGTGGTATGGTGCTTCTACGTGGTGGTGACGGTGAGTGGCCCTGGGGACCGCGGAAGCATGGGGCCCAGGCTGCTGGCAGTGCATCTCTTCTCAGATGGCTGAAAAAATGACCATGAAGGGCTGAGCGGGGAAGGAAGAGTCAGGAGCACTTTGTAAAAGCCTTGAGCGATTTCTTGGAACTACAGCTATTTTTGTATCCTCATGGTAAGTGAGGGACCAGATGGTATAGATGCTCTTTTATAGCTGGAGAGAGCCCTCCTGTCCAAAAATAAACCCTTGTTACAGCTATTCTGTAATGTTACGATAATGGTACCATGCATCTATGTAGCACTGTATCCTTTGACAGTGCTCTCCTTCCAGTGCTATCCCATATGCTGAGTCTTTTGTTTGTTCTGGTTTCCATATTAATGGATTGACGACATCCAAGATCAAATCTTGCAGTGTCCCTGTGGCCACGTGGTTCTGAAGTGGTAAGGACCAGACTGGGACTTAGGAGTCTGGTTCCAAGTTCAGCACACTCTCTGTTTTACCACACCGGCCTCGTGCAAACATCCCCTTGTCCGCGCATCAAATCCCATGGGAGTCCATGCCATTCCCACAAATGCCTGGGGGACCAGACAATTTATCTACTGCTCGTTTTTACACAATAGGAATCTTATTTCAAGCAGCCTTTGATATAGCAGAATTCCTTCCTAGCAAGGAATGTGGACAGTCCTTTGGGGTTCGCTGTAACAAGACCTGGCCTGTGATGCATGAAAGTGTTTAATTAGCCGCCCCCCACCCCCACGTGGAGCAAGTCCTGTCTGTAACTTGGTCTCTTTCTCAAGAGCTAGAATTGTCCTGTGAGAAACGTAGGCCTTAGGGCTTGGAAAATTCAGCAACCCTATCATCTCTAGAAGTTCCCTTCCCCGCCTTCTGCTGACCTCTCTTTCCCTGCCTTCCGCTGACCTCTCACCCCCTTCCTCTTCCTTCAGCGACAGTGATGAACTTTCACATCCTAAGGAACTCTCTGCGTCCAGAGCTGAACGCTGAATTCCCGCTCTGAAAAGCAGGAGTCCTCATGTTCTTGTGGATATTGCTTGTATGTCTCTTATCCTTTAGTCATGGAACCGTTTCCTAAACAGAACATTAGGAGTTTTACATACTTCTGTCCTCTAGAGCGGGACTACCGTGTTCCACTGTCCCCAGAGGGAGGACGTAGAGTGTGGCCTGTATAAGGAGCGCCCCTTACTGTTGCACGGTGTGCATCCAGGCCCCTTTGGGTCTAGGTAATGCTGGCTTTCATCCCTCTTCTCCCAACCTCTCAGTGTTTGGTTCCTGCAGCGCGTGAGGTCCCTATGCCACTTTGAGGCTGAATGGCCTCAGGGTCTTTTAGAAGAAGCATTGCCTCAACTCTGAATCACTTTTACCTCCTACGTCAGCCCCAGACATGCCACCGGAGCTGTGACACATTTAGGCTAGATTCTGGAGGCCAAAAGCCACGTTATGTGATGTCTCTTCAGAGCGTTAAAGGCTCAAATGCCCTTTCAGGCCTTCAGGGGCTTGAAAATGATGATGCTCATTAGTCTGACAGCACGTAGCACTTTACTTGGGGAAGCTCAAGGCAGGCCTTTATTGTGGTGACAGCCAGTTCCCCACTGAACTTCTTCAGTAGGAGGTGGGGACCACGGGGACCCTGGAAAGTCCGGTGACCCCCAACTCCTAGGAGCACCACGCAGCTCCTGGCCTCATCTACTCCCTCTGCACCATCCCTCAGGGAATAAAGGCGATTGAAGAAGGAAAGGAGGTAGTTTTGTAAAAGGAATGAGAACTAGCTAAGTGTTTCCTAAATCCTAGTTTTCTGTTAGGATGAAATCTTCTTTGATTCTTGTCTTTCACTGTCCGGTTCATCAGCAGGTCCCGCAGCCCCCACCTGCAGAGCTCACTGAGGTTGTGTCCAAGCTGCAGCACGGGCCTGCCGGTCTCCGCAGGGGAGATTTTTGGCCTCTGGGGACATCAGGCAGGTGGAGGCCAGGAGTGCTGCTGAATGTCCTGCAGCGCACAGGACAGCCCCACCACTGAGAATTACCCGGCCCTGATGTCGGTAGTGCCAAGGTCGGGAAGTCCTGTTCCGCAGTCCAAACCGCCATCATCTTTTGCCTGGACCGCTGACCATCGTCCTTCTAGAAGGAAGCTGTTTCCTCTCCGGTAGCCTCCCTCCACCATCCATTTTCTTCTGCTCCACCAGACAGATCTTTTTAGAGCATAAGTGAAGTCCCACACCCTTATGTGAAAGCCCCTGTCCCTCTTGGAGTGAAACTGTCATCACCCTCACTCCTGTGATCTGGGCCCCACTCTTACCTCTGCTCCTCTACCTGTCCTGGCTGTTCCTGTCTCTGGGGCTCTGAGGGGGCGGTTCCCCTCTTCACATGCTCCACCCCCTGAATCCCGTGGCCAGCTCCTCCTTCCCATCGGAGTCTCCACCTAAATGTCACCTCTTCAGAGAACCCCCTCCCCCAGTCTGTACTGTGAGCACTACACCCATTGCTGGGGCGTTTTTCTCACTCATGCGTATATTCAGTGCTGTCTGTCTGTCCCACTAGACCCCAAGCTGTTTGTGAACAGCCTGTGTGCTCACAGTGTCTCTCGTGCAGAGCCTGGCAGGCAGTAAGTGCTCACTAAACAGTGGTGGTGAGAATGAGGAGGTAAACAGTAACCGCATCTTCTTGCTCTGGCCCCTAACTGCTTTTAGAAGAAGTCACTTGTTTTTATAAACTCCTAGATGATGGTCTGTTACCTAAGAAATAAATAAAAGGTTTTGGGTTCTTTTTTTTTTTAAGTAAAAAATAAAATTTGCCCCAAATCTCTCCCCCTAGAAGTAACTATTTTTGGGGGGGTGGCTGTTTGGTTCAGACATTTCTCTCTGCATTTAGACAAGCGGAGTGATAAGAGCGTGGCTGGACCTACCAATAATTTATGAGAAGGTCAACCCCCCACTGGTAACCTACCTGTGGACTACTTCCTATTGATTGTTTAGAAAACACAACAAAACACGAAGGGGAAAGCGGGGTGGGCCAGCGTTTGGTCTCCGTGCCTGGCTTTGTGGAGATGTCTCCCTTCCTATTTTAAAACTTGAAGCCTGGTGCTCCAGGAGAGTCTGGTACGGGAATTCTCTTCACCCTGGACTGAGTCCCATTAACAGATGGCCGCTCGGAGCCAGAACTTTAGTACATGATTCCTGAAGGACAAATGCTGTTGGTATGTCTGAATCTAGGTAGCAACTGGCTGTGTTATGACTGGATTTTGCTGTTTCTGTGGTTCTGTTTGTCCATTCACCAAAAAGGAAGGCTGCAGGGCAGGGGTGGAGGGGGGAGAGATTGTTGCAGTTTGCTCAGGCCTCACTTAGCTCATAGGTTAAGGAGATAACAAAGGATTTCAGAAGTTCCCTGGGTTCCCTCTGCCAGTGCCTGATGGGGCCTGGGATTCGGGGGGAGGGGGGTGGGTTCGGGCACTGCATGGCCCACTTGGCCCCCTGTGATGTCACGCAGTGGCCTGCTGGAGCTCTGAGGGCACCCCGGCCCCAGGCCACCCTCAGGCAGCTGCCTGGCTCGAGGTCTGGAAAAGGCTGTTCTCAGAGCAGTGAGTCATTTTCCTCTGACTCCCCCGCCCTCCCCCTGAGGCCTTCCCTGCAGTCCCTGTGGACCGGACATTCACAAGCAGGCAGCATTTTTCTGGGGAGTTTTCTTTGCTTGTTGGCTTCAAAGTTCTGACCTCTTTGTCTCCTAAGAAAAGGCACCAGGCCAAGGAGGTTCATGTTTAAAATCACAAGATCATCTGGGCTGTTAGGTTTCTCTCCGTGCTGCCTCTCTTGGGCGGCCTCTTTTAGGGCAGAAGTTTTCCTCCCACCTCAGTCCCAGATGTACTATTTCCCTCCTTATATGTTGCTGCTTCCTCCACGATGGGCCGTTCTCACCTCTGATTTCCCTGGAATGAGGCACGGAGAGAGGAAGACCATATAGATCGTTTTGTGCCCGGGTCCCCGTGAACAGCAGAGAGGGAAGGCAGAGCCTGATAGCAGTGGTGTGGGAAAGCACTCCGGTCACCCTCCAGAGGTCCCAGAACCTTCCATCTCTGTGTGACCAAGGAGGAGGTAGTGGTAGGGAGAAAGGACTGGGAATGAGGCCGTGAGGGGCTGGGGAGCAACCTTTTCCTTCAGATCTAAGTTACCATGACCACGCTGGGTGCATGTGCCTGACTGGGCCTGTCAGTTTGGTCACTGTGTTATTGGGGCCCCAGCTTGAGGGCTGGGGGCTGGGGACTATACCTGAAACATCCAAGGTAATGTAGTGACTTGAGGGTGGGTGGGTGAGACCTCACCTGAAAACACAACTGTGGATCCACTAGCTAGTAAGTTGAGTGTTTGTCCCTGAATCATGTTGGCTTGGAGCACTGCTAACCCCCGATCATAGTCCCAGTGTGACATTTGAGTCTCAGTCTCCTCATCAAAGCCTCCGGCTCAGTTTATTTTCTGACTTCTTGAGGAACTTGGCTTGAGGTTATTGGATCAGGAGGTTGGTGCCCCAGCTCGGATTTCACCTATGCTGCTGAAAAACCGTCTCATTTCAGGAGCTATTTCTTGTCTGTTCCTTTATTTCCCTGCTTGTGGAATGGGGTCATACTGATCTACCCATCTCTGGCTGACAAATACGAGCCTTGTTTTTTTTCCCTCAAAAGGGAGAGATCCTATAGCATTCATCATTGATTCATTCATTCAACCAACAAATTTTTATTGGATTCCTGTAATGTCAGTCGATCTTGCTCATGGCGGATTGTTTCATCTTATGTGTTGTAATTTTGGATTGTCAACTCCTATTGAGCAAGTTTTAATGCATGAGAATACTGTACAGCCTTGAACGAGAGTATGTCCCGACGGTGTCACTGGCCCACAGTAGCATTAATACTCATTTCTTAGGTTGGTGGTTCCTGAACTATACAAGTGGTATAAATTTGAACTCCAAACCCATATGAAAGTGAACCCAAGGTTACAGATTTTCAAGGGCTAATATATTTTAGTTTTTGTCCTGTGCACAGGGTGAGCAAACAGCTTCTTTATCTCTCTTTATTGTTGTCAGACTATAGTCGACCCTTTCTCCAGTCTAACCCAAACTAATGTAAACTCTAGTCTAATCTTCTCTTGAAGTTTGTAGCCTTTCAGGGGTCCTGTTTTAAACAATTTGTTTTTCAATGCTCATTATTTTTGAGAGAGAGACAGACAGACAGAGCACAAGCAGGGGAGAGGCAGAGAGAGAGAGGACACAGAATTGGAAGCAGGCTCCAGGCTCTCAGCTCTTGGCTGTCAGTACAGATGATGCAGGGCTCGAACCCACGAGCCATGAGATCATGACCTGAGCTGAAGTCAGACTCTTAATCGACTGAGCCACCCAAGGAGCCTGAGGGGCCCTGATTTTATACAAGGGTCTCAGGCTCCACCTCTCAAGGCACCATTTTCTGTTCCCACATGGGTACAACCGCCCCGGCCCATGACTAGGGCCTTCTGGGCTGCTTCAGCCTCCCCTTCCTGCTTAGGCTTTTAGCCTCTTGTCCCTTTTGGATTCCAAAGGTTTTCCCTTTCTGTTAAAAACCTTTTGAATATAAAAGAATTACTTGCTAGGTGTCACCCATCATTTCTAGATGTTTTGTGGTGGGATGGTTTTCAGGTTACCTCTCCTACTCTGTTAATAGGCCCTGGGCTAGGTACCGGTGGTATAAAGAAGGGCATGACGAGACCCACGAGCTGGCAGAGTAATGGAGACCTCTCCCAATGATGACCCAGTGTGCTGGGTGTCATGCTTGCAAGACTTCTGGGGTGAGGCCTCCTAGGGCAGCCTGTGTGGGCCTGTGTTTTTTTATTCATAGGGATGTGAAAAAGCCAACGTGGGATCTGAAAAAGCCAACGTTGGCTTTTCGGTTTTCCAGTGGATGGTGATTCTAGAGTCCATGTGCTTATTCATCCTACAAGCATTTCCTGAATGCCTTCATGCCAGGCATAATGCTAGACACATAAACATGAGCTATCACATTTATTTCTAACAATAACTCCATGAGGGTATTTTTATCCTCATTTTCAGAAGAGCCAACTCAAGCTTAGGGAGACGAGCTTGCTCAGAGGCTAGAGCCAGTGAGTCCTGGACCGGTGTCTAGACACAGGTCTTCAGACCCCAGAGTAGAGCTTTTTCACAACGAAGAAGGCAGCTGAGGGCCGGGTGGCTCCCATGCAGAGAGGGCCTTCATTTTACCTGTCCTATACCTTCCTCTTTCTGTCAGCGGGGGGGTGGGATGTGCCCCTGACCCTGAGGCCTGCCCAGGGCCCCAGCAGGTCTCCTATCCACATCTCTAAATACTGTATCTTCTTGCCCACTCCAGGAAGGATATTTAACAAACCCAAGAAGCCTCTGGGAAGACTACCCACACGTGTACCTCCCGTGAGTATTCTCATGACTCCGTCTCCAGGGAGGAGCAAGCCGGCCCACCGGCTCCCCCAACCCAGGGAGCGCGGCGGCTGGCGCGAGGAGCCTGTCGCACCCCCAGCCTGTGAGGGCGCAGTGTTGTAGCCGGCAGTCTCGCCCTGGGCTGCTTCCTCCTAGGGCGCTGGGCTGGAGGACCCCCAAATGAAATGTTTTCTGCAGTAGCCCCTGTCAGAGAGCTGGTGTCCCAGCTCAGGCTGCCGTGCCAGGACCCCCGTAGGCTGGGTGGCTTACAAACAACAGAAACTTCTGGCGCACGGTTTCGGAGGCCGAAAAGCCCAAGATGAGGACACCGGCAGGTTTGGTGTCTGGTGAGGGTCTGCCTCTAGGTTCAGAGGCGGCTGTCTTCTGGCCAAATCTTCACGTGGAGGGGCAGGGAAGGAGGCCTCTGGGGCCTCTTTGATGAGGGCACGGATCGAATCCCATTACCGAGGTCCCCGCCCTCACGGCTAGATCTCCTCCCGGAGGCCCCGCTTCCTAGCACCGTCGTGTTAAGATTCCGGTTCCAGCGTCTGAATTTTGAGGGGATGCGCACATTTAGTCCACAGCAGGCCCCTAAGCTGTCGGGAGACGGGTTCGGAAGCGGACCGTCTCCATAACACTCTTTGGGCTCCGTACTTCCCTGGTGACCTGAGCTCGTGCACGTGCGCATCGTCCCCCCAGCCTCCCACGCGGGTGCCCCTCCAGAAGCAGCACCCCCTTCCCCTCCTTCCCTGTGCTGCCAAGAAACCAGGGGGCAGCACCAGGTCTGCCTCCCGTAGGAGACCCTCCCTGCCTTTCCTGAGACCCTTTATTTTTTTCAAAATTTTTCTTAATGTTTTATTTATTTCTAGGAGAGAGAGAGACAGCGTGATCAGGGGAGGGTCAGAGAGAGAGGGAGTCACAGACTGAAACAGGCTCCAGGCTCTGGGCTGGCAGTCAGCACAGAGCCCGACGCGGGGCTCGAACCCACGAACCGCGAGACCATGACCTAAGCGAAAGTCGGATGCTTAACCGACTAAGCCACCCAGGCACCCCAACCCCTGAGACCCTTCAGAACCACAACAAAGGGTTAACTACTGTGAGAGGCCCCTCTGCTAGATCTGTTCACGCTTCAATATATTGATGCCCCATCTTCATTGGCCTTGCTCAGCCTTTCCTTCTCCAAGCCAAAGAACCTTCCTCCTCTGTACTCTTTTCACCATTTTTGTTTGTTTCTGTGTACTCTGTGTCCCGCTAAGTGGTCCCGTCTGTGGAGCAGGGTCCCCACGCCCAGGGCCTCCGTCCCGTGGTCCAGGGCCTCACCTTTGTCTCCTGTTTATGAGCACCCGCAGGGACAGCCTCCCTCCCTCCCATGTGACCTGTTCCCTTGTCTCCAGCTTCCAGGTGAAGTTTTTCTACCTGTGCCAGCTGGCCTACTGGCTGCATGCACTGCCTGAGCTGTACTTCCAGAAGGTACGGAAGGTGAGTACTTGCTTCCCCCTTGGAAGGCGCATGCCCTTCACTCCCCTCCTGCTGTTCCCCGCCTCCTTCCCCTGAGCCTTCCCTCCAGAAGCGCAGAGCTGGGCGGGAAAAGGGGATGAGTTTGCGGGTTGGGGAAAATGCTGAGCCAGCGAAGTCTCCGCAAAGATCTCCCTGAGAGCAGGCCACCAGCGGGTCTCCTGCCGCCCACACTAGACACGTGGCTTTGGGGGAGGTCTACCTCTTGTCTTCTGGATAGCAGATCAGAGGTTTTTGCCTTTCCCCGTTTTTTGTTTGTTTGTTTTAAAATAGCCTCCCTCTGAATTATTTCCAGAAGCCCTGTTCCCCAGTCCCTGTCTCTTCTTTCTCAACCCAGCCCTGCCCCATGGACCTGAAGCCAGCACCTTTTCCTCTGACTTTCCAGCAGCCTGGTGCCTGAGCTTCTGGCCTGACATAGGACTGTCTGTGTCAGAGCAGCCCGGCCTGCCCCCCTACCCCTCTGCACCCCCCCCACCCCTCTGCACCCCTCTTCTGCAGAAGGGAGGTGGGAATGAGCACATGGGACTGTGTCAGAGCAGCCTGGCACCCCCCCCCGCCCCCTGCCACCCATATGCACCCCCACCCCTGCGGAGAGGAAGTAGGGATGAGCACACTTACTGTCCACTTCTGTCACTTGCAGGAGGAAGTCCCCCGCCAGCTCCAGTACATCTGTCTGTACCTGGTCCACATAGCTGGAGCATACCTCTTAAAGTGAGTGAGACCCCGCAGCTCGTCACACTTGCGTGCCCTCTTATGTCCGTGCATCTCTCCACACGTTCATTCCATTAGGAGGCGGTTACCACACCCCTTCTGTTGGCCAAGCACGGTGCTAAGACCTGGGATGTCCTTATCTTTAGTGGGTCATGCTCAGCCTTGTAGGAGAGACAGCGTAGGCACAGGTCAGGGCAGCTCAGGGAGAGGATGGCTGTGCTACCATATGGGTCATCTGCCGTGGGAACCCAGAAGAGGGACTAACACATCCTGAGACAGAGGCAGGGAAGGCTTCCAGGGATGCTGCCACTTGAACCGTGACTTTGAAGTCAGAGAGGTGGCCGTGGTGTTTGGCCTTGAGTGTCTCTGACAAAACGAATTATATTGATGAGTAGATACGTCATTGTTAACTTGGGATTTCCTTGATTTTTATCCGAGCAGGGTAGGAGAACACCCTGTACTTTCTCTGGGCTGTCATTTTGAGGGTTGGTGACGTATAATGTTCCGGTGAGCTGCTTGGAGGTCCTTGGGCCTGTTGCCTCCTAGGCCCTCACAGCAGGCTTCCTGTGAGGACGACGGACCTGGGGTAAGGGAGTCAGGAGGAAGGCAGCTCTCAAATACGCTCTTATCCCTGGAGGCGTGAAACAGCATCGACTCCTGGATGGGTTTTCGGAGGCCAAAGGTTGTATGATGGGGCCAGCCCTGCTCACATGCAGCGCCCAGCAGTGTGCGGTGAGGCCCAGGGTGAGAACGTGCTGGCAGGACCACGTGGAAGGAAGGTCCTGCTACTGCCGGGGGCCTGCTGTGTCATCACTCTTCCCCCAAAGACAGGAGATGCTCTGAGATCCATGTTTCCCACAGCTGACGTGTCCCAGGGAAGGAGAAGGGTAGGGGTCTGACCCTGTTTGGGCGGAGTCTTGTGATTCTTGTTCTGGAGAGAGGATAGAAGCGAGAGGGCCGGAGTAGCGGATCCTCCAGAACACGGCCCGTTCCATTCCTAGTGATGCTGGTGCAGCCGCCTCTCTGCTCCTGGCCTGACTTCCCTTCGCCTCCATCCTTGCTGTGGTTTTCAGAAGTGAGTGTGAGGGCAGGAGACACCCTTGACTACAAGATTTCCCAAGAAAGGCAGACCTTCGAAATGCCGAATGATTGCGGGGTCTCGCTTTGGTGAAGAGCTTGACTTTTAGAGGCCTTCACTCACTCGACACGTACCTGAGCTCCTCCCTCGAGCCGGGCACTGTGCTCTGAGCTGCAGCTACACCTGGGCGAGGTCAGACCGAGGCCTTAGTCTCCTGGGGTGCCCCATCTAGAGGGAGGCAGACCATAAGTAAGAAAATAGTTTCCTGTGGTGGTAAATGCAATGAAGAAAATAATAGGGGCACCTGGGTAGCTTAGTTGGTTGAGTGTCCGACTCTTGATTTCTGCTCAGGTCACGGTCCCAGGGTCATGAGATCAAGCCCTACGTTGGGATCCTTGTTGGGTGTGGAGCCTGCTTGAGATTCTCTCTCCCTTCCTCTGCCCCTCTCCCCTGAGATTCATTCTTTTCTCTCTCTCTCTGTTCTCCTGTCCTCCTGCACCTCTCCCCTGCTCACTCATACTCAGTCTAAAATGATAGAGTAATGTAACAGAGCGACTTGTCTCCATGGCACCTTTGTCGAGGGGAGGGAGGTGACTCAGGTTGAGGCAGGTATGGCGAGTGTCAGGCACGTGAAGATCTTGGGGGAGAGAACTGTGTGGGCAGAGAAACAGCAGGTGCAGAGGCCCTGAGGTGTGTGTAAAGCGCACTGTGGCTGGAATGCAGAAAATGAATTGTGAGATGAGGTGACTGTGCACAGTCCTGTTGGACTTTCTGGTCATGTGAAGACCTCAGGTAGTGCTCCCATCATTCTCTTGACCATCTTCAGGACCCAGTGGCCACCCCATTGGATTCTGGACTGCTCCAGGCTCGTTGGGTGGACCTGGCTGGGCCCTTCATCACCACGGCCTGTGGGGCTGCTCCCACATTTTCTTCCTGATGGCCCGAAGCCCTGTGCGTCCAGCAGGGTCTGCACTTTCCCTTCGCAGCCTGTCTGCGTTTGAGCTACAGTTTCATATGTGTCCCAAAGTACCTAAGAAAGTCGGTACCACCACCATGCGTGGAACTGAGCGGGGAGTGCGTGCTAATTTTTAAGATGTTGGTTCAGTAGCACATCTTTTTGCATTATGTTCACTTTTGCTGCTTCATGTACCTCTTGGCTATGAAGACTTGGATAATGAAAAACCAGACGGTGGGAATCCCTTGTATTTCTGTGCATAAAGCTCAGCCACTTGTTCTGAGCACCTTTTATGTGCTGGGTCCTGGGCCTGGTGAAGAATACAAGGTGACTGGTGGCTTTAGAGCCTAAGCTGGGATCACAGTGGGAGTGGGGAGGGGCTCCTGACACAGGACAGGTGCAGGGCCGGGGTGGGGGTGGGGGGGCTCAGTATTTTGTTAAAGGTGTGATGGCAGAACTGAACGGTGTAGGATGAGGAGGGCCAGCCAGGGAAGGCCGGCAAGGATCGCAGAGCCCAGGGTGTGGGGCGCCTTGTGCTCTGTGGCATCCCGGGGAGGACTGTGAGCCTTGTCTGTTTCTCCCAGCCTGAGCCGCCTGGGCCTGATCTTGCTGCTGCTGCAGTACTCCACCGAGTTCCTCTTCCACATGGCTCGACTCTTCTACTTCGCAGATGAGAACAACGAGAAGCTGTAAGTGGCATTAACCAGGCTGGCCCACTCAGAGGAGCCGTGGGCAGGAGCCTCCCAGGAGGCCGGGCTGATGGGAGGGTAGAAACTGCCCCTTAACTGCAGGTGGCACCCCAGGGTTGTTTTTTTGGAGCATGCTATTCCAGAGATCTCCCTCAAACTCCCCAGTGCTACCTTTGCGCCTTCTCTCCACTTGGTGTTGCTCCTGGAGAAGTGGTGAAAGCTGCCTCACCGGCCCTAAAGGCTCACGTCCCTTTACCACCCCCATGAGCAGGTTTAATGCCTGGGCTGCTGTGTTCGGGGTCACCCGCCTCTTCATCCTCACACTTGCCGTGCTGGCCATCGGCTTTGGACTCGCTCGAGTAGAAAACCAGGCCTTTGACCCCGAGAAAGGAAACTTCAATACCTTACTTTGCAGGTGAGTTGGGAGAAAGCCCAGGGAGATAAATCAAGGCTGCCTGAGTGCTGCCAGGAGCCTCCTGAACTGGGCACAACTTCGGAAGGTCGGGGGCCAGTAGACCCCTGGGTCTCCCGTACATTGATGTTTAGCTGGACATCTCTAGACATCGGGCCTGAGGGTAAAAGGAATCCGAGCCTCTGCCTCCAGCGAAACCATCTCCAGCACCTGCTGGGACTGCAGTCAGGGTCCCCAGGTGGGAATCCCCTCCCCCTGTCCAGTCTTCAAGCGCATGATAGGTTTCCACTCTCGCCCCTCAACCCATCATTACGGCCACGTGTGGACTCTTCACAGTAGGGAGCCCAGCAGTGCAGCCCGTGGCCCCCCATAGCAGCAGGGAGAGCCGGGAGGAAGCCATCGTGTTCCCATGTGACCCTTGGGCCTGGGAGGGTGTGTGACTGATCCAGTGTTGCTCAGCTTTTAAGTGGCATTCTAGATGAGAAGCCACCCTTCTAGAATTACTCTGCTGTATCGTAATTCAATTCTTTTGAATTCTCTCCGTGTATATATACACGGAGCTTCAGTGAGTCATGTTGTTTGTTGTGGGTACAGAAGAGACAGGCCATGGAAGCATTGTGACTGGAGCTGGATGTGCAGATGTCCCCTCCTCCTTCCCGGGCTCGCCCCATCTGTTTGTCACTACCCCTGAAGTGTGCTAGAGTGGAGGCCGGCACTGAACCACCTGCTCCCCCTGGTGCTGGTGGCGGGATGGGGCATGCCGGTGCCCTGGGGACAGCCAGGGGAGTTGTGGGGTTCCTGCCCTGGTCTCCCCCGCTGCCCCGGGGCGGGACCAGCCCCAGCATCGAGCCCGCCATGGTGTCCCTCCGCGGGAGCTGGCCGCAGCCCTGAGCCCGCCACACTGTCCCTCCGGCCCCGAGCCACCACGCTGTCTCTCCACAGGCTGTCCGTGCTGCTGCTGGTGTGCGCCGCCCAGGCCTGGCTCATGTGGCGTTTCATCCACTCCCAGCTGCGCCACTGGCGGGAGTACTGGAACGAGCAGAGCGCCAAGCGGAGGGTCCCAGCTGCCCCCAGACTGCCGGCCAGGCTCATCAAGAGAGAGTCTGGTGAGTGCAGTGCCGGGCCCTTGGGCGGGTAGCTGCGAAGTGTGCCCGGGAGGGTTGGGGAGGGGCCAGGGCTCGGCTCCTCTGCCCCCACCCAGACCAGCCCTGGCGCTCCCCTGTCCTTCCCCAAGGCCGGACTGGCACGTGGCTGGGAGTGGGCCAGGGTCACTTTGTGGGTGAGGCTGGCCGCGGTGGGGCAGGGCAGCAGCTGGCTGGGGCGCTGTGGCGGGAAGCGTGTCCTCGAAGTGGCTTCTGACCACAGCCAAGATCGGCTGCCTGCTCCCTGTGCGGCGGCAGCCCTGTCCTCCCCTGCCCTCCCCTGCCCTCTCCCTCCGCACCTCTGCATGGCCCTTCCTCCCACGCCACCGGCTCCTCTCTGGTCTTCAGGAATGACTCAGGGTGATACAGTGCTGGGTGGGCATTGAGGCCGGGACGCCCACTTCGCCTCTGGCCCTGGCCCCGCTCCAGTAGCCGCCTGCCCCTGCTGGGTCCCGGGCCCGCTGGCAGCCCAGCGCGTTCTGTGCGGCCTGGGGGCCTGTCTGCACCGGGCGCTGTTCCCTGACTCACCTGCCTTTCTCCAGGTGTGGCCTGCTTGGCAAGGGCTCCCGTGGGTTTGAGGCAGACACGTGCGCGGCTGGGTGTGGCAAGTCGGGCCTGGCTGGGAGGGGACTGGGGGGTGAGGCCGCTGCCAGACTGACTCTGCGCAAGCACATGGAGGTGTTTTCCACAACAGTAAAAAGATGGCATAGTTTTTTCTGCCAGAAGAGTATCAGCCTCTGAGTACTGCCTGTCCCTACAGCCTCCCTACCTCCTCCTCGCCACTCTCCCCTCGTGGGGCGTGGCTGCTGAGGTGGGCTGGTGCCCTGCAGGGGGCTGAAGGAAACTGAGGCCCCTGGCAGTGTCTGCGTGGTTCCACCTAGGATCTGGTACAGCCTGAGCCCCGGGCTGGCGGGCGGGCCCCGGCCTGTTCTGGGTTACTGTATGTCACCCCAGCCGTCTTCCGCTAAAGGACAGTCAGGGACCAACCACCTTTAGCAGAGGGGAGCAGGGGCCTCAGGGGAGCTGTCTACTGACATCCAGTCTTGGCAGGACGCTGCGGCCATGCATCCCCTCGGCTCGCCCTGCCCCCCCCCCCGCTGCAAGCTCAGGCCTCACGGGCACCTCTCCTCTTCTAGGCATGGCGGGAGCCCCACGTGTGTCTGTCTCCCTTCACTTCCTAGGTTACCATGAAAACGGAGTAGTGAAAGCAGAGAATGGGACCTCCCCACGGACTAAGAAACTCAAGTCTCCTTGAGGCCAAAGTGCTGGAACAGGGATCCTCCCACGGGGGCCAAGGCGGGGAGGTGGGGAGCCCGGCCCCGCCACCGCCTTCCCCCTCCTGCTCCTGACGCTCCATCTCAAGCAGCAGGAACCTGTCTTCAAACGGGGCTTCGCCTTTCTTACTCCTTGGCTTTCTCTTCTTACTCTTCCATAAACCATTCTCAATAAAACCAAAACTCTTCCTTCCTTCTCTTCCTCAAGCCACCTCACGTCCTCACCTCTGTCCTGTGTTGGGTTTTCTAGAAGCCCAGGCACTCATAGTTCTCTTTTTGCTTTCCTCCTCTTTCTCTTCCTTCACGGCTGCTGCTTTTTACTTCTTTCACTGTATTGTGCAATTTTTCTGTGTCTGATTTTTACAATGAGAGGGAGCTCAAGTTGCAGTCCTGGCCACTCACCACCCAGCGTCAGTCCCCAGGACCCGTCAAAGCCAGAAGCCTCGTGCCGAGGAGCCTCTGCCTGGGGCTGGTAGCAGGCCCACCGGCGGGCCCCGTGTCCGGGCAAGGAGAGGAGAGGCCAGCCCTCTCGGATCATAATCTCCCAGGTGCTGATTAACTGAGATGTATGATTCCAGTTCCGCACGCACTGGCTGGAGGCCCGGCAGAGCCACCACTGCTTGGTGTTGCCAAGTCATTTGGCTGTGGGGCATGGCGACCTGGTCCAGAAAGATGGTGTTAAGTGTGTTGGGTCCCGTGACTGGAGATGGCTTCATGGTGGCTGGTCCTGGATGGGGGCCAGCCTGCCCTCACTCTGCTGGGGAGGTGCTGGAGGAGGACACGTCTTCCCACCCTCTAGAGCAAGAACAAAGCGTACGGAGCGGCAGGCTCTTCTGGAAAGGTAACAGCGGCAGAGGTGACGGGGCGGTTCGCCTCAGCCTTTCTTCAGCCCCAGCCCCAGCTGCTTTTTCAACCGTTCACCAGCATCCAAAACCAAATCAAACCACAGTGAACAGACCAGCATGACGGACACTGGTCCTCGACCCCAGACCCAGGGAGCCCTGTCAGGGCCCGCCTCGCTACCCGGCTTCATCTCTCTGGCGGCAGGGACGCTGAGCCCCCCACTGGCCTCCTGGTGCCCCGGGGAGGGTCACTGGGCAGCTTTGCCATCTGTAGAGTATTCTTCGGCAAGGTCATTGTCATCCTCTGGTTTGTCCAGCGCGCCCCCAGTACGTTAGACTGTCCGAGAGCAGGACTGATTGGAAATCAGTCTGCAGGGTAGAGGAGCAGACACCACAGTGCCAGTGGGAGGCCTCTGCCTTGTCCCTCACGCATCCCATCTCTCGGCTCCACCCAAAGACAAGGCCTCCATGTCCATGTGGGGCCTGGCAATGACTTCAGGAAGGGGTTAGGCTTTCTAAGGTCCTAATTAAGGAGTGTTGAATTCTGCATCGAGGCTCTGGGGAGCGATTCTTGGGGGGGGCATAGAAATGTTAGTGTCCTTTTATGTGCTGGTCCTCTTTCTAATGCCCCAGTAGAAACCAAACCTTGGGGTATTCTCCTAAAAAGGGGGAGATGGGTCTTTTCATCAGGGCAGCTCTCCTCCTCCATGTCACTTTTGTTAGCGATATACTGGATTTTCCAGCGACTGAGGGCATTGTTCCCTCGCACCACTGTCAACCCTCCACTCTCTGTCCAGGATCAGGTAGAAATAGGAAAAGCTGCCCTCGGCTTCTGATTACCCCTAGGAAGTGGGACGGCACTTGTGGAGACCTGCATCGCTCCTGTCCTGGTCTGATGCTTCTCTGGGCTGCAGAGCAGAACGTTGCTAAAAGGGTCCTTGGAATCAACCCTGCAGACCCAAGCCAGGACCCCTTAGCTGTTCGGCCACATCCCCTGCTGAGGCTGTGGCTGCGTTCAGCTTTCTTACGTTGCCTGGAGATGGAGGGGCAGCCAGCCAGCAGCCTACCACCTGCCCAGCAGCCTCGCCACCCCTCCCGGTCCTCTCCTGGCTGTGTCTCTGGCAGCGAACTGCCTCCTGCACGGGGCCACTCCCTCAGGTGAGCCCCAGTTAAACTTCGGTGGGTATGCAGTAGGCTGCAGGCCCGAGAGGTGGGGAGAGTGGCCCCAGGCATGCCACCAGGCACCCCCTTCTCATGTAGGTGTTCTAGGTGCTTATGGCCAGAGACCACATGGCTGCATGATCCCTAAGCCTCCTGCGAGCTTCTGGCTCTGTGGTAGGTGTGATTCAGAGGTGGTTCCACCCCTCCAGTGGCCTGAGCCAGCCTAGGCTCCCTGAGATGGTGAGTAAGGCCAGCCTGACCGTAGCAGGGCCTCCGGGATGATTTGAGGGGAGGGGGATGAGAGTAAAGGCAGGGTGCTTGGTCACCTCCTGCCATCCCCGCCACATTTATTTCTGAGCAGAGCTCGGGCTTCAGCAGGCTGGCTTAAAGCAGGTTTCCGAAATAACTCTATCCTGTGAGCTTGTTGTGCTGGCTTGTCCTGATTTGGCCACTTCGGCTGACGTCTTCCGTCTTCAACACTCTCTCCTGTTCCCAAAGTGCCAAGCCGTCTGTGAAGGCCCTGCTAGACAGCTCCGAGTGTGAGAGGCTGGCTCAGCCAAGAGCAGAGAACAGATGCTAATCTACCTCAGCCAGCAGCCCCCTCTCTCTAAGCATCCCTGGCCGGTACAGGTGCGGCAGGTGGTGGTGGGGAGGAGAGGCCGGCTGTGTGGACGGGAGGGCCTGGTGTTGCTCGGGTTCAGTGGTGGGAACGTTATTTTTACCATCCAGGCTCTGAGAGCTTCATTGTTAGTAAGCTATATGTGTTCCTTTTGAAGGTAGGGGAAGGTTCTAGAGGAAAGGGAAGCAGGCTGAGCCAGGAGGAGAGCCACTTCTCCCCCATTCTAGTCCATTCTAACTGTGTGTGTGTGTGTGTGTGTCTGTGTGTGTCTGTCTGTCTGTGTGTCTGTCTGTATGTCTGCCTGCCCGCCCACCCGCCCCCCCCCAACAGATGTAAATGGTTGCCCAGAACCTTTTCTGTTTCTGTCCCAAGGTAGAACTTCTGACATTTCAGAAACCAAAAGAGACATCTGTGCTTTGGCCACCTTTGCAGATGTTTCTCTCAGATCCCTGGAACCCTAGAAACCCCTTGAACCTGGGTGGGGTGTTCTCCCAGGGGGTGGGCATCTGGGTTTTCTTTAGGGACCCTCTTCATTAGCAGCCTTTGACTTTTTTCCCCTAAGTGGTAAGAGGTAGGGGGGCAGAGGGTACACCCCCTCCCAAGACTCCACAATAGAAAATTCTGCTCCCTGGACTCTTCTTTCAATTTGAAGTGGCATGCCAGGCCCCACGCGGCCAGGGAAGGCTCGGCTTGTGGATTGCCTGGCCAGGTTTCAGCCGTCCCTGTCGGTGTTTCCTGGGCCTGGACAGAGCCCCCGCCCCTTGCTGAGGGCCTTGGAGGCCCAAGTGAGCAGACCTGGGCCATAATGGAGGGGATGCTGCGGGCCCGGGAGGTGGGACGACAGAGTGGTCTTTCTTCCCTACCACTGCCTCCTGGCCCACAGCCCTGCTCCTCAGAGGGGCACTGGGTCATTGCCTAGCTGTGTGACACTTAAATAGAATCCCTCTTCAGCCCGAGGCTGGCCCAGTAAGGAAGCCTTCACCGGCTTCTCTGTCTCTACCCAGCTCTCTCCTCCGCTGCCTCCCCCACTCCCAGTTTTTATAGAGGTCTCAAAAGCACCGCCACTTGTGCGTTCCGTGCTGCCCTGTGCTCCGCAGCCCCCAAGAGAGTTTGTCCGGAGCAGACCCTCCTCCTTTCTGTGTAAGAAGTGCCTTACTTGCCGCGTGGTCTTCCAGCCTTGGCTTGTGCTGCGTGGCCGGGTCCCCAGCCGCCAGGCCTCTAGCGTGATCTGCCCTGTGCAGCCAAGGACCCTGGACCCCAGTGTATTACATGTGAAAGGGACGCGGATTGTGACAGTTTGGCCTCACTCGTCTCCGTCCCCTCCCCCTATCGTGTTGGGGTGTGTGGTCTGTTCTAGGCTTTGTTTCTGGTGGTTCTTTCGTGTCGGTTTTCTGGCCCACGGGGGCGGCTACAGAAAGAGGGAGGGCCAACTGCAGTCACCTGTGCCTCCTACCTGTGGAGGGAAGCCTGGCGGCCTCCAGGGACCCGAAGTGCCCCGTGAGCCCTGCTCTGCCCGCACCCCCACCCCCAGATTAAAAAGAAAGGTGCCCTGGCTATACCCTCTTACAGTTTGCTTTGTGTCCCGTTCAGCCCGCCGTTTGTGTGGTGAAGGTGTCAGTCACAAGTGCCGGCCCACTTGACGGCGGGTCTAGCCGGGCTGTTGCAGAAGCTCCTGGCGCTCCTCTCAGTGTTACCCACGTCTGCAGCGGCCGCCCGCCGTCCCCCTGCCCTTCCGGGCTGTGCAATAACTCTCCCAGCGGCGGGCCTCCCACAGGCCTGCGGTCCCCAGACACCCCGCAGCTGGGAGGGAAGGGGCCCGGGGGAGGGCGGTCGACATCCCTTACACAGGAAATGTGCGCCACGTCCCCTGTGTTGTTGCCCGTCCCTTCCCCCCGGGTGGGTTTCTGTGGCACTCGAGTAGAGCATCGTGGCATCGCCTTAGAAGTCCGTGTGTGTGTGTGTGTTTCGTAATCTGTTGAAAAGGAAAATAAAAATCCTCATGATGGGGCATTAAATAAGTCCGTGTCTGGGAATGAGATCTGCTGTGACCCCTGTGATGTCACCGTCACTCTGTCTAAAGGCGTTCTAGAGCTTCTTGTTTGTGCGGAGACGCGGCCACACGGGGACAGCCCTGCTCCCCCGGTAGGAGCTGGCTGGCGTCATAAGTGCCACCACTGCCTTGGGGGAGGAGTCGCGTGCGCGTGATGAGACCACACACCTCACGTGTCCGTCCCTCTGGTTTAACAAACAGCCAGAGGACAAGCTGCGGCTGCCGGTGCCGCCGTGAGCAACTCATAATGCAAATGCGGACAAAGTGTCTTTTTGTTTCCTACTTTAGCCTGTTCACCTTACGGACCAAATTTCAACAAGGAACTCAAGGAAAATTTGTACCTACCGTATTTATGCTTTCATGTAAAAGGGTTTTTTTGGGGGGAGGGTTCTTTTTATGTTCAGTGAACTTTTTTCAAAAACCTTTTCCACCGTTTCTGTCTGGTTTTAAAACAAATTACAGTTTTGTATGGATTTTTTTTAAATGTACGTTTTGAAACAAATGATCAACAAATATTTTTGAAATAACTGAATAAAAGGCATAGAATTATCAGTCTAATTGTCTCTGGTAAAATTACTTCTATTTTTAATCTGGATGCTTACATTTGCTTTCACGTGAAAAATAATTTCGTGTCAGTTTTAGCCTCACTCCTATTTTTCACTGTATTAGTCCTTTGTTGTATATCCTTTTGTAACCGTATTTGTTCATTTTGGTCATGTGAATGAGGGAATTGTAGTTAAGGATGGAGAAAATTACATGGAGTGTTGCATCGTAATGAGCATTTTTGAGTCTGTATCAGTAACTGTAAAAACGGAAAGAGTTTACTTGACCTGAGGTTTATAGATCTCACAAGGAAGTGCCGCAGGCTCGACGCCTACTGCGTTGTGAAGTCACTGGCTCGGAGAAGATGGAAGCAGGTGCGTGTGGAATATTAGTGCCAGTGCTGACCAGTACTGGTAACGATGGAGGGCCATGGGGATGGCCGGTGCCAGTTCTAAGGCCTGCTCTTGCCTGTAGCGGTCTGTGTTTTCCAGAACCATCTCCCAAGAGCTCCGGAGAGGAGTGGTTACACATGGCAGTCAGCCATGGACACCCCCAAAGTGTCAGGATTACCCAAGAAGGGTTCACCTGAGGTCAAGGTGAGTGGCACTCACAGAGGTCAGGCTTTGGCTCTGACTTGGGTGTCCGTCCGGCTCCACCATGAGAAGCTAGGTGGCCCGGGGGATTAACCTTTCCGAGCCCGTTTGCTTCTATGTGGGGTTTGTGTGCTTGCTGCTTGTTTTTGCAGGCAGCGGTGTGGCGAGATTTAGGGATCGTGAGTGCTGAGTCCATGGTACAAGTAAAGCACTTTTTTTTTTTTTTAATAGAGCACACTCCTGTGCCCGCGGGACATTAAGGAGTCCTTCACCCAAGTGACCCTTGATTCTCTGGAAATTATTTTGAGAGAGCTTCCCCACCTGCTGGTCCCAAATACCCTCAGTGCCTATAGATATCGGTTTGATACACTTTAATTCAGTGGTATTTTCAAGGCCCCGTGGTGGCGCAGACAGAGTTCAGGGCCTGCATGGTGGCTTCTTTGTCTCCCCTCCCTGGTCCCCTCCTCAAAGGAGGTCATTTCTCTTCCCTCCAACCTGTGCCACAGGCTAATGCTCAACTCTTCCATCATCTAGGCCAGGACTCCCGACGCGTGCTGGGTGTGACCACAGGGTAAGTGTGGCCGCACCGCCATTTGGGATTTCAGTGGGAAAAGCCATTTGCTCAGACTTGTGTGGTACCTGTGTAAACATGGGTTCAGGGAGGCGAAAGAGAAATGTGACAACAGACAGAAGGGCCGGGAGCACTTGGATCTTAAAGGGTGGGGAAGAGGAATTTTTCCTAATGTGTCCATGTCGACCGAAGAGGAAGTTGGCAAGTGTCTGTGTGCTGCAGCTGGTGCAGAGCCACCAGAGACTGGAGGTGGGTCCAGAGCATGGTGAGCCTCCCTCCTGCGGGGGCTGGGGAGAAACTGTTGGAGCGTGGGTTTCCTGAGAGGGGCCGTCAGCTTCATCACAAACTCGGTGATGGAGGTGTTTCAGCAGGCTCCAGGCTTGACCCGTATTCCCCGGAGTTGGGAGAGCATGAGGTTTAGGGTGCCTGGTTCTCCCCTAAGCGGAGTCTCCAGAAGAGGGACTGCTTGCTCTCGGGGCTCTGTAGTTAGGCGGCTCAATCTAGATGGATACACGGGGAAAGAGTGGATCTGGAAGGGTTAGCCCGAGGAGGCCCCCACACGTAGGGCCTCCTGAGAGGAGAGGGGGCCTGGAGGGAATGCACTACTGGAACCGGGCACGTTGGAGACTGGGCCGTCTGTATCCGAGAATGGGGCTCTGGGAGGTTGGTTTTCTATTGGGAATGTGTCCTAAGAACTCACAAAAGCTGCCCTGGGGGAGAGAGCGAGCCAGCCTTTCGGCACATGACACACAGAAGGTCCTAGTCTAAGTAGGACTTCACTGGCCACAGAAATAAAACTTTGCCCCTTTCCTCTGCTGTCTACTCCCTATCCCTTCACGGACATTACAAAGGCCAGAAACAGTAGAATGGCAGGTGGGAAGGGGAGAGGGAAAGGGAAGGAGAAACTCACCGTACCTGCCCAGCACCCGCCCACCTTCCCTCCCTCTCTCTCCCACTCACACACATGTTCTAAGGCTTCTAAGCTTCTGACCAGGCTGGATCTGGGCAGGCAGGATAGAGCTTAGTCCTTTTACTCTAGACTGAAGTGGACTTCTGAATACTTGAGAATACTACTTTGAATAGTAATGAGTGGGGCAAGAAATTTAAAATTGGGTTCTTCTTGACATATCAACCTGGAGCAGAAAAACTCAAGATATACTGTCTTACAGAACTTTTAGCAAGCTAGTTCGAGGTGACTTGGTTCATCAGGGGAGGAAGAACTGGGGGAAGTTACCAGCAGTTCTGAGGCCAGGAGTCCTGGATGGACAGCTGCCCCCCTCGTTCACACCCCTGCCTGGGCTGCCGGGAGGAGCCGGAGCTGGTGGCTGAGCAGCCATGGTTCTAAACGCTGCGGCAGAGCTCATGAGACAACCAGGAGGTGTTTTTCCTCCCATCTCAAGGCCAAGTTCTCTAAAAGCAGAGATTTTATATATATTTTCGAAAAGCACGTTTTATATATATATATAAACACACACACACACATATATATGCACACATATATGTAGTATATACTAAAGTTATATAAGCAGCATATATATATAAACTATACTTCAAATCAAGAAATACATTTTCTATTATGAGCCAGTAAATACACCCTCAGTTGAAACAAGTTTCATGAGACAGTATATACCTACTATTTGTACTATACTCTCATATTTTTATCCTATTTTGGTTTAAATGCAGGTCTCCAAGTGGGCCTATAGCTCCAGTTTGCAAAGGTCTATTTCCCCACAATATCAGGGTAAGTAGGCAGCAGCAGCAGTCTGTGTGCTTGTTTCCTACCCCCCAAGTGATGCTTCTTCTGCTGGCAAAGTGTATTTTTCCTTCTGCTCTTAATCATTCCACACCTGTATTAGGGTTCTCCAGAGAAACAGAACCACTGGAATGTATATAGGGAAAGATTATTATAAGGAATTGGCTCACATGATCACAGAGGCTGACAAAGCCCAAGACTGGCAGTGAGCGAGCTAGAGACCCAGGAGAGCGGAGGGTGTAGTTCTCGTCTGAAGGCCAGGCCAGCAGGCTCGAGACCTAGCACGAGCCATTGTTTTAGTCTGAGTCCAAAGGAAGGAAAAAGTTGTCCTAATTCAAAGGCAGGAGGAATTCTCTTACTTGGGGAAAGCACAGCCTATTCAGGCTTTCAGGGGATTTGGGTGAGGCCTGCCCACAGCAGGGAGGGCAATCTGCTTCACTCAGTCTAGGGACTCCAACGTTAACCTCATCCAGAAACATTCACACCCAGAAAAATGACCAAACATCTGGGCACCCCACAGCCCAGACAAGTTGATACATAAAATTAACCATCACAATACCCCTACCTCCCTAAATAAGGCACCGGTCTTAGCTCTTAAAAGATCCAGTTTAATTTAGACTTGAGTATTGCAATATAGGAATCAAAAAACATAATTTTAAGAGCCCTGTAAATGCCTCTCTGAAAAGTACAAGGTGTGTCAAAATGTAGGTCCAACCTCCAAACTGTACTCCAGTCTCTCATCAGCCACGTCCGTTTGAAAAAGCACGAACAAAGTTATAGTAGTTAATCTTGCCTTCTCCGTGGGAGCACATCCTGATCAACTGCAGGAGAGAGCAGAGAGCAGGTGAGGCGCGGCACGCTTACTCTTAACACGCCCTAGCCTTTGTAAACGGGGTTGCAGTTTATATCAGAGGATTTCAAAATGTGCCCGCGAGCCTGCCAGGTAGATCTGATGTTATCCCCGTCTTCGACTGTGAAACTGAAGTTCAGATGGAGTAAAAGGCCTGCCTGGGCTTTCAGAACTAACATTTATAAGAACATGGTCATCTCCAAGGCACTTTTAATTATTTGTATATTCAAGTATGAGCTTTGTCCACCCAGCCTGCAGAGTAAAACTTTTAAAATAGCAAGCTGCTATTATCACAGCCTAACAGAAGAATCTAGTTCCAGGTCCCCTGAAATGCAGCTGTGAGTGGTGGTAGACTGGCTGTAGCCACCTTTACAAGATGTGTGCAAATCCACGGCACCCACACTTTCCCCGCCCCACTTCCCACTGACTGCAGTTCCCCTCTCGCTTGTTAAGGTCATGGATGGCACACATGACTTAAAAATCAAAAGCTGGACATGCTATCAGTCCGAGATTTGGGAAGCTAAAGGGGCATTTGCCCAAGTGAACACCTTCTCTCCTGTCTGCCCTCCTCTACTCCCTGCTAATGTCCTGATCTATGAAAAAATCCTCATCTCCGATCTAGCGCCTCCAGCACCGTGCATACAGCCTTCCCTAAATGAGTCTTTACTTCTGAACATCGCTTTTTGCTAAAAGATCTTTAAGAAGGTCTACAGTGCTTCAGTGTTTTCCATCAGTGAGAAGTCTCCAATGTAAGTCACGGACATTGGCAATTGTGGGAGAAATTTTGTTCTGAGTTTGAGGGAAGCCCAGGCTTCCTGGGGACTTATAATGAAAACAAGGCACAAAATGCCTTCTTCAACTGACTCATGAAAATGCTAGGAGACTGGCCATGTCCTTCCTCCATTTGCATCTGGCCCTGCGTGACCCCTTACCGACAGACATTACTTCCGCTGGCAGTGATCACACCCTCTTTCAGGCTGGCTGTACTGCTGGGCTAACGAAAGCATCGCTGTGAAAGGTGTCACAGGCTGCCCACCATCCTGCTCAACCCAGTTACCTCTGAGTCTCCCCTCGGGGCTGCCTCTCTGGGATCACCTCTGTGGAGGGGCTGCCTCTCTGGGATCACCTCTGTGGAGCCTCCTTCAGCCGGGAAATGGCCCACCAGCCTTCCAGGGCCGTCAGCCCATACCCACTGAAACAGAGGCCCTGCTGCAGCCATTAGGAAAGAACCCCAATGTGAGAATC